AAATGACATTATAAGGAAGAACTGAGAACTTGGAGACATGAAATTTGATATTAAAAAAATGTGTAGGAAGTCTGAGCTTTACTCAGAGGGAATAAAAATATGAAGGCAAAAAAAAGAGAGAGAGAGAGAGAGAGAGAGAAAACAAAAGCAAAACAAAACTACATTTTTGAAAAATCTCACCAAAGGAAACTCGAGACATAACAGAACAAAAACAGCAACATTCCAGAGGAGAAATAAAAGGCATTGCTAATTCAGGGACACACACACACCCAACACACACACTGGGCTAGAAGAAAAAGGGACTTAAGCACTCAGCAAGAACAGAAACTGAACTTTGTGAGTGTGGTTAGTAACCTGTCAAGAAATGTCAAAGAGACCTGCAGCCACAGTCTCATTTTTTATGATGTAACTGACTCACTGTCCTGCCCTCAGTAAAGGAGTGGTCAAAGAAAGCAGGCGAGCCAAGAATCCTTTGAAGAAAGATCTTTGATGCCGACTTCATTTTTCCTCTATTATCTAAGGTCGTTCACCATCGCTTCTGCACCAGCGACTGAAGAAATATACTGGGGTATCAAACATCTCTGCATTTACAGTATGTGTAAGCTTTACACATCCTCAAACTACTCCATATTTAAAAGTCTTATTGACTAAGTAAATCATTAGATTGTGAATATGCAGGAGAGAAAGTTAAACCAACAGATTAGTCCTGATTCATTCCAATCTAGGTCACAGGTATGGACAGAAAAAAGCGACTTGCAGCCATTTGAATCTCCCTGCTAGTTTGGTGTAAGTCTACTAACATCTTTTATTTTTAATTCATACGATCGTTTTGAACCAAAGCCATTTAATAGAAATATTCTTATGAGAAAACTTTCTGCATCAGAATTGAAGAGACACCAATTTAAATGACAACTGATTGTCTTAAATTATGCAAGTCGTTAAGTAATGAGGTGCAGCAAATACAGCACAAATGTTTGTGCAGTTATTTTGAATGTCAAATTAAAAAAAAGACTAAATTGGACAATAATAATTGGCATTTTAGGCACGAATAGTGAGATAGAAGGAATTCAAAAGTAAGAAAAACTGACAGGTAACATAACTAACAAAACCAGTTGCTACTGGTTATTAATCCCTTGTGCTAATTTTTTTGTAACACAATTGATGCAAAAGTTTATTCTATAGCTTACATTTTAAACACTATCTGTAGTGGAGAAGTTTTGAGTCGCCCTCAAAACAAAAATGTGGTGTTGACCCAGAGAGGCCCGAATTCAAAAGCACTCCACACTTCTCAGATTTTATTTGTAAAGATTGATGTATGTATGAATAATTTTCCCTCCAAATCACAATATGAAAACGTATTGCAGTATGTGGACTTGAAATGTGAGAAAATATGAAAAAGTGTCTTTTGTTGCATCTGTGGACCAGTGTAAAAAAAATAAAAAATAAAATAAAATAATGGCAAAAACTCATCTATTTTTGCAATTTCACTGCCTCAAAAGTGAAGCCAATTCATTTTGTGGACTTATTTTACATTTTCCAATAAAACGACTTGAATCACAATCTGCAGCTGCCCATATTGTTAAATCATTTATCTGATATGAAGACAGAGCCGTAATAAGGAGGAACCGAGATAAGGTACAGTTATAAGGGAAAACAGTTTTCTTTTTTTAGATTGAAAGTCAGAGCAGGATCTGATTGCATGTAAAATTTAAAGAAGCCAATAATATATAAAAGTTGATTGGCAAACGGCTGTTGCCTCATTCCGACCTGAGTTTTTTTTTTTTTTTTTCTGGATGGGGCTTGAATGTTCTCCCTCAGAGTAAAAATGACTATTAGGTTAACTGGGTTTCCTAATCTGCCCTAACAGATGAATTGGTGCTTGATGGGGAGATTTGGATGCAAGTTTGACAAGTTTATTGTCAAACTTTTTTTTCTCCATCCAATTAGATATAGAAAGTCAAGACAATGATTACATTAAATTAGCCATTACAGTGGTACATTACAGTGAACATCTACCTATGAGCTACTGTTTCGATGGCTGTGTTTTATTTTATTAAATAAGTCAAGGTGGAAAGGACTGTTCAGCTCAATTACCACAGCCCTGTAATGGTGTTTTAGATTACAGAAAATTCTTCTTGAAGTCTTCTATGTTGATAAAATTGCCAGGCTTTTGAAGCATCTGTGGACTCAGCCATTTGAAAGACAACCCAGCAGGGCCTCGCTAAGCCTCTCAAACAATTGCCTCTCGATATCCACAGCAATTTTATCTATTTTACCCAATCGTGTTAGCACTGAGGACAACCTGCTCTGGGTTGTTAGCTGCTGTTTGCCAAAACGTTTCAAATATTCATGCTCTGCTGGTGATGGAATTAACTTCTCGGAGGTGCTAAAAGGATCACTTTCACTGGTAAATCTGTTGGTCTGGGAAAACGTAGGACGGAGAGGGTACGTTTTTATGCCTGCTCCGCTGAGGAGCAAATCTGCAAGCAAACAAGTTACCACTGGAGGAAGCTAAAGGTTTTAAGATATGGTTTAAGGAGGGAAAAGAATAAAAAATTGAAATGTTAAGGAATGAAGATTTTTTTTTTCAATTAAATGGCTCAATAAAGAACACCGAGAGAAACAATCCGCCGTAGACACCGGTCCATCACAGGGCAATGCTTGCACAAAAAAACACAAAAAAACTTTAAGAGAAATATGTGAAATATCCTTTATGTACCTCATAAACGTAACTTTGTCCTAATTGTCAGGAACAAATTTTAATTGGTCAATAAAGTATGTACTGTAGATGATTATTAGGACTGAAGGAGTCGAAAGGCCAAAGAAACACAATCAGTTTGTCTCTGAGTTGGCACCCAGGTCAGGTCAAAGAGGGAAGTGGAGTTTGTGAATGTTAATAGGATTTGCTGATGTGCGTTGTGTCTCGTTAAAGAAGAAATGTCTGCGGGAAAATTGTGCATGTGAAAGATGGTAGAACGAGTTAGAAATCTAGAAAGGAATTGGATGAATCTGGTTTTAAATGTTAAAAAAGCATTAGGAAGTCTGATTATTATGGACAAAAGCCACTAGAGATGTGTTAGAATCCACAGAAATCAATGCTACCAACAACAATCTTTCAAGCCCACACAAAACTCCTCTGCCAAGAGAAAAGTCCCCGTGCTGCCGTCTGTGCCTCAAGTGAAGAACCAAACTTACATCTGCAGCAGGGCTGCAAAATATTAAAACAAGGAGATTCAATGTTTTTTTGTAAAATATTTTCAGAAACATCTGTTAGGTTTGATCAAATTGTTCTCATCGGTCAGCAAAGTCCAGCATCAAGTGTAAAGCAGGGAAAATTCATCGTTGGCTCTTCCAAAACAATACTGTACCATAATTGTTTCCAAGCATTTCATCACAACTACATAGTGATGTTATATATATATATTTTTGTATATTATCTGCTGCAGTTTGAAATCTTTTGTCTCCACCAAATCAAGAACATACGAAAAAAAAAACAAACAAAAAAACAATCCAGATGGAAATCTCTGACCCCTCAGAAGCCTAACTAAGGGAAAGAACTGAGTTTGACAGAAACTACACAGCATTGCTACTGTAAGGCCAATCTACTGCTGATTTCTGAAGTCACCAAGCAGATCATTATGTTACAATTCACTGCTCCGCTGCTTTGAAGGGCAGGCATTCAGGAAGCCAATGAAAGGCAGAGGGAACAATATGGAGAAGTACTTGAAGAATACTGGAGTAAGGATTGGGAAGCAAAATGTGAGGCCATTCAGGTGGCATATAAAAAACTTCCAGTCCGCTCTGTATAGGATCAGCAACCAGGGGCGTGGATGGCTCTTAAGTCCGCATAACAGATTTCTGCCTGAATGTGTGTATACATAATTTCCTCTGAACAGCCAAGCCTCTCGTCGCTCTGTTTAAGTAGCTATCTTGCTTTCAAATTGTGTGTTCATAAATGTTGGTCCTCTGATGCTACAGAGGACCTTTGTGACGCTGATCACCTAAATTTTACTAACAGATTGTTACTTCAAAAACCATGTACAGAATTTTTTTATACAAAATTCTCGAACGCATGCATTCATTTGAAGCAACGTGAGGCATCTTTACCAAAAAAACAGAGAGAAAATGCTAAAAATGTGCAAAAGCAATTGCACAAGCCAGATCATAACTCAAGAACAGCGGTATGAAGGCATAATATGGGATTTTTTTCCAATGACATGATTGATTGTAGACTTTTTTGCTACATTGAAGAGTCAAATGTGAGGTCAAGCCTCAATAAATGCCTCCAAAACTTACTACACCGAAGAGACATTAAGGTATTGCTTTTGTTGCTAAAACTCGGCCAATATCATATCTGTTAGATGCCCTAAGTTGCATCTTTTTTTGTGGTTCTGTTATTTTCTCATATGAGCCAAAGAGGAAATCAATACATCTGGAATCTGAAAAAACACACATTTGTTCCTTGTAAAATATTCTGTTAAGGTACATAGATTTGTCGGATAACTTTGGATATAGAAAGATTCTTGTAAGACACAGTGGTGCAGGGAAAAAACAACTATTTATTAAATTGAATAAAGGTACTCGACAAAAACAAAAATGAAGACGGAAAACAAAGAACAACGACTGGGCCAAAGGATTGTGGAGGCAGCAGAGATTTTTTAAGATCTACACACACACACCCACACACACACTAATATCAGCACAGAAACAGCCACCAGTATACATCTCCGCACCAACTCAACTTACATGACCCTCAGGTGGGTCTGATGGGCAATTTCCACTCTAAATTAGAGATCTTTGCACCGTATGCGTCTAAAATGTCATTACCGATGCAAATATAGTGAAATCAGCCATTAGCAACAGGAACCTTATTAAACTAATTACACAAGAGTGCACCACCCAGGCAAGTGGCCTGAACAGCGTCACTAAAACTAATAAACTAATAAACTTTTAGAATCCACTAAATACACTAATCCATCATGCCATTCTCTAGATCTTACCTGCTTCTTTCTTGACCAACATCTGGATGACTGGCAGTAGGTCCTGGATGTAGCTGGAAAACATTTTTGTGCATCGTCAATACATAGCATAATTACATTATGTACATAAACAATATTGAAGCATAAAATATCATCAACATTCTAAAATAGTAGATACTCACACACAGTCCTCATCACGGACATCAGGACGTTCCTGAAGATTCTGATTGACACAAATGTGACTCCCATTCTGTGGAGTGTCTGTGGAAATAAATGTAAAAGCAAAAAAATATTGTAGCAAATATATCGCTTTCTCAAAAATAAGTTAAAATTATTCTCAACCAGCCATTGTACAATCGGGAATCAACACAGTGACTGTAAATAATACATACCGGCTTCATGGCTCCGTCCCCATATCCGTCCTCCGTCCGCCATGTTGTCTACTGCTTTCCACACTCTGCCTTGCTGTACTGCGTTATAACAAAATAAACAAAATAACGAGAAAATCAGTTTTCCTTACAAATATGCGAGTGTTCACTATTGACTAAATGTGAAATCATAACCTACTGAATTTCTCTTCGTCCTGGTGGACTCCGTAAGAGCACCTCGGCACCATGGTCTGAGGCCTGGTTGTTGAGGCTTGGCCATTTTTCAGGTCTGAAAAAAAAATAAAAAAAGAGTTCAGAACATCACATGTAATAAAAAATACAATACGAAATCTCACCCTACACTTGTTTTGGCATATAAAAACGACAGACCGCTTTCTGTAAAAAACAAACAAAGCAACTCGCCTCGCTGCCCGTGCTCGTTATTCATAAAAGCTTTCTTATCGTGAGTTCGGCCTTGTTGGACCGCCGCGGTGTCATCTGTTGTTTTCCGCCGGAACATTGCTTAATATCAAAACGATACTGAAAAGGTAACTCCGTGAAATAGGACTTTTTCCACCATTTCACACAACGCACGGGCATTTTCGTTCATGTTGGGTTTAGCAGTAGCCGGTGCAAATCTTCCTCTGGAGTTTAATGGCGGGTGCTTGACCGACTATGAAAGCGCATTACTGCCACCAACTGGACTGGAGTGTTAAATGAAAGTTGACAGAAAAAATACATTCTAAAAAGTTATTTTTTCAAAAGTTACGTGACAGTATATTTTATTTTTATTATAATTAATTCCTCAAATGTTTTTAAATGTATAGATGTTTATTTACTCAATTCTACTTTGAGCTGTCTCCTTTTTTGTTTATATAGAATATGATTCATAATCTGTGAGTTATATTTAGTGCTTAACTAACAAAACTTTTGAAAAAAGAATACAAATGTCAGAAGGTATCACATACTTTCAACCATTAAACTCAAGAGTTAAGCAACTGAATACTGATAAATCACCTGTGGAATGGTGTCACTACCACTCCAATATCAGTGAACATTAACGTTAGTTTGATTATTATTCACAAAAATACTTTATATACAATGAACCACTCTGGAACATGTTTATTATTATTATTATTATTATTATTATTATTATTATTGATTAAGTTGTGTGGGAGGAATGTCAAAGTAAGATCACAAACAAAAGTCTATTGTATGTATTCATGCATATTCTTCTTTTATATCATCAATTCAACCTAAGTTTTTCAGTGCTCTTAACACACATGTAAAATATATTTTAATGGATAAGATAGATTATTGTTTTAATATTCTTTCTCCAAACATACTTCTT